TTCTTATCCTGCAAAGCAAGGCTGGAGGAGGCACTCATTTGCCTAGTGTTTTTCTCCATCTGTGAAAGGGAAGCGATACAAGGAACTGTCAGCACAGCAGCTTTTTTCTTTTGGTGCTGAAAGTAAGGCGGGCACACTCACATTAATCAAGCGGCTGCACAACCAGCCAAGCGGCTCATAATTAAGGTGCCAACCAAGAAGCCATCTTCATCTACTGAGACACTTTGTGAAGGCCTGGTATCCCCCCAGCATTGCAGAGTGGAAAGGCTGTTCCACTGAGGTTTCTGTGTTACCATCCTTGGAAAGGCCCTCACCCAGATGTGAAAAATATGCCTTACGGTGATCTTCCCACTCCAGTGAGGGCTGACCTTTTTTCTACCTTCAGAAGTGGCCTTGCACAATCCACTTATCTGATCCCCCTTCAGAAGAAGGAGCCAAGGGCTTTATCCCCTTCACCTCTTCTACCAAAAGGCAAATGTTGGAGGGGGGTGTTTCCAGCAGAACCCACCATGGATACAGCCTGACTTCTCAACTCTTTCCTTCCCACGAGAGGCGACCAAGCGTGCATCTTTGGTTGGGCTTTCTCTCCACGGCAGAGCTGAACTCTTCACAAGAGGTCTGATGGCCTCATTCTAAATTCAAGTCACCTAAAATAACGTATGCAGGTAAGAAAAATGCATGTACATCTTTGATCAGCTACTTTGAGCCTGCAGGAGACCACCGAGAAACAGAGGAGCACTCCATGTTGGTGTATAAAAACCTCTAGCTGACAGCCTAATCATAGCGCCCTGCCTCTTATTTCAGGGGACAGCCCCAAACTGGTTGAGCTGGTAACTCTCTGTGCTCCTGCTATCCCCTAAGATGCCTCCAAGATGATCACCGTCAGGGTCAAAGAGTCTATAAAAAGGAGGAAGGGACCTGGGAAATTTCCAGGGAGGTGGGGCCACAAAAAAACAGCACCATCATTCCAGCCATCTTCCATGCAGACAGCTGTACTTCTCCTCTCAGAAGTCCAAGAGCTCCTCCACCTGATCTCTGGGAGCACTGCAGTCATAGCTGGGAAATGGGCACTGGCTAGTTTGCCTGACAGTAACCCTGGCTGCTTGGAGATGTCCACTTCCCTTCCAGGCCTCGGAAGCCCATAGTCTTTTCCAGGACTGCTCCAGGAGTCCTTAATAGAAGCTGTCCGAGTGAAGAGGAAGGAGGGAAAGACTTGGGCAAGTGGCATCCTCTAGCCTTGTGCTTAAGGGAACAGCAGAGTCTTCTGCCAAACCGGCCACGGCATCTTGTCACAACGCATCCACTGCTGTGAGACAGACTGTCATCTATATAACAAGCTCAGCCCAACAGGAAAATACTTTGCCCAAACCATGGCCTAACCTCATCATTGTCTTTTTCTGTAATATTTGCTTTATGTAACTGGTTACAACTCAAAATGTATCCCAACCACTGAAGAGCTGGGTTACTCTAAAATCTGATTGCCCCTCAAATGTGGCAAAGGTACCTCCTCGCCAAGTGCTAGTCACTCTACTACCATAAGGGGAGATGCGCAGTTCTTGGGGAAGCAGGGCTGATCACCATTTCTTCTCCCCATTCCACACAAGTGGTTCACGGGTGGCTGATCCAGCCAATGACTTCAAATCCCCTTTTTACTTCTCTAGTAAACACAATAATTTAGCCTGTCCAGATGCCCTCTGTGCTTCCTCTGATGCACAATTTCCTCATCAAGGCAAGACGGGGGGAAAAATTACAACTGAGAGCTTTCAACTGCTGCAATAGTTTTTCTCTCTACTGCACAAGCTGAGTTTTCAGTTCTACCTGGTTTTGACTCTCCAGGCTTACATGAGTTGCCATTAGGCACAAGGGCCACCTCTTGCAAAAACTAGCCAGCTTTGGGAATGCCATTGTTCAACAAAAAGCAGGTTCTGATGGGAGCAACAATAACTTCACAAGAGAAACTGGCTGTCGTTTGGCCCAGCACCCCTGCTTCTTACTTGTACTCCTTTGAGGTACCCGTAGAGCTGGAAAAATACTGGGAAGGCAGTCAACAATTTCAGGTAGGCCTTATGTCTACTGTGCCAATGAAAACAGCTTCTTTTCTTTAGCACCTATTACACCCTTGTCCAAAGCACTCTGGGTCTTTGTAGACCAAACAACAGCTATCATCTTCTTGCCCAGTACCTAGTTTTCTTCCAAGAAAAACTGGTCATTTCTGCTTTCAGACACTCCTCTTCCGGCTTCAGAATGAAAACAGAACTTCGGCAGAAAAGGGAAAGAGCTGACATTGCCAAAGTCTGGAGACAGTGACTAAGTATTCTTAAGACAATACGTCCTCAATGTTAATCTTGATCAGAGACATGTTGTGCATGCAACATTTTAGAGCAACTAACATCTGCAGGATGAAGCGGGGCTTTAGATTGCCACGACCAAGTTCTTATGCTTCAGCTCCAGTTGGGTTTGTTCCTGTGTATTCAAAGGACAGAAGGAAGTTTTGTGGGGCACTGGTGCCACCTAGCGGACGTAAAGGATCAAAGCCACAGTTTTAGGTTAGGGATAGGCAAAACATGGCCCGCATCCGGCCCATGGATAATAGCTTTTTCGTAGATCTGTATCGTGTTCGTTACCATGTTAATAAGCGTTGTTGTGGAAATGACGCGAAGGATGGAGAACGGCGGCTGCGTGTGGCCTTTCTGGCCCGCTACGCTGCATGGGTCCACCAGAGGGCAGCAGGGCCCAGGGCTTCGCCCTTGACCTTGCCCACAGGCAGGCAACAGTGCTCCCGGCAGGGTCTGCAGCAGCCACCTGCCATGGCACGGAGAGCAGCAGCGTATGCCCAGGGGCCTTTTGTGCATGGATGGAGCTGGCAAAGCAGCCTGGAAATGTCCCGCAGGGAAATAAGCAGCAACCCCACCACACACAGCACCCATCTGCTCCCCTCCATGAGCAACCCTGAGCGCTGCGGATCGCAGCTGAGCAACAGGCAGACATGGGCTGCTTCTCCGTGGAACCGGTACTGATGGGATGCTGCTCGGCACCACTTGTCCCTGGCCCCACTGTTCGCCCCAAACCCGCACAGATTTGCTGCTCTCAGGATGTCCACAGTGGCCACATTGCGCTCCAGGCGGCAGCAGATATGGCACGCCTGGCACAGCAGCACCCAGCCTCGCTCTGCAGTGGGGAGCGTGATGCAGCCTGCCCCAGCAGCAGTGCAGCCAGGGGAGGGTGTGGGGGCCACAGGCAGGTCACAGCGCAGGGGTGGAGCGTGGGTGGAAAAAGGTGAAAACTCTGGCAACATAATTGTCTGCAGTGATTTGGGACTTGTTTTGTGGAAATGTTTATGAAAATATGCTATTTGGAAAATTGTGTAGTAATTTGGGAATTTTTTTCTGGAATCGTGCCTGGAAATCTGGTGATGTGTAGAAACCTGATTATGGCATTTATAGTATAACATTTATACCATAAATGCTATAAAAAGTTTTAAGGACAGCTGTTCTTATGTGCGTGCAACCCTCAATAGCCCACCAAAACTCATCAAGTGGCCCCTCCAGCCCAAATAACGGCCTGCTCCTGTTTTAGGTGAGTGCGTTTTCAAGAAAGGTGATGTGATGGGATCTAAAACTAAAGTTTGGCACTTTGTATTCAGACCTCAGGTGATCTGCTTCCCCAGGTCAAACCAGCTTATCAGAGAAAGCAGAAATGCTCCCTTCACATCTTCCTGAAAGAGAGCAACTAAGAAGCAGGTGAACCAGAAAAAAAAAACATTTTGTGACCCACCAGAGGAGACTGAATGTTTGCACCAAAACTCCAGGTGAATGTGCAACAAACCCAGCCCCTCTCCCACCTACCCGGTATAAAGGAGCACCATATTTATTTATTGCAGCCTCCCTGCTGCTGTAGTTCTCATACACCCGCAGGCTCCATCAGCCCGGAGATAAGTGGCGTCACTGGGGACTCGTATTGTGGAGAGATGGGAAGATCTTGTCACTGTGCCCTGGCACTAGCAGAAAACAGCTTCACGGTGACATTTAAACTTTAATTTGCATGCAAATGTCAATATTTATTAGACACATCAAGATCTTCGGTAAAGCACTCTTTCGGGTCTCCAAGTCTCACTGGTTATACTTTTAAATAGCAGGAGACCTCGGGAAAATGAACACTGACTCCTGGTAACCTATTTGTTCCATATACTCAAGCTTAGCAATTTCACCCCTATTTATTGATCATTTTCATGCGATGCTATTTCTAACCAGAAGATGTGCAACCACATCCAAAACCAAAATACTTAATATGCAGCTTCAAGAACACACTAAGAAATTACTCCCTCACCAGCCTCCCCCAGAAGACACTGGGGTTGGGAACATCTTAACATATTTAACTGTTGAGTCAAAATAACAGATGCCTCCTGCCCTATGGCACAGAGCAGGAATAGCAATGTTTCAGTATTTTTTTTCACTTGGGTCTCCAAGCTTTAATCCTTTTGCACCAGTTTCCAGGAAGCCTCAGTTGCTGAAATGTAGGTGACAGTTTTTAACCTCTTTCCTCCAAATCCTCTCTTTGAGGGGCAAGGGTTTTTCTTCAACATGAGAAAGAAAAGGGCAAGGGATAAAAAAAAGCTTTCAAATGGCTAGTGGGAGAAAAGGAGGATGGATAAAGAGAGTGCATGTGACTTTTGAACAGCAAGCAAAAGAAATGCTTGTACTGACTATATTTTCAGAGTAGGATTCTTTCTATTTAACTGAAAGCAGCAACCCTTCTGTGATAATATAAAAAAAAAAAAATCACTGGAAATCTAAGGAATGTGCTGCACATTTTTAACTGGCCTTAGCTTGTACGTGAACACGCATTGCTAAATTACTAGCAACTGATTTCATATCAAGACTGTGCTCTGGGGAAGTACAGGGCCTCCCAGCATGGACAGAAAAGAGGAGGATACGAGGGTAGTTTCTGAACAGAGGTAAGAACTCATGGCAACTCTCCTCGTTAACATTTTACCCACTCACCAGGATTTGGGCTCCCCAAAATGCAGGTAGTTGATGCTATAGAGATCCATGTCCTCAGTGTGCCACGCAAAGGTTGTCTTCCACATCCCAAAATAGAGGTAGGGGGTATTTACGCCTTCAATGATAATCCCACACTCATGCTCCACCATGTCCAACAGGGTGTTCAGGTTACCAATGTTCCACTCTTCCACATCCTACAAGACAAGACATTCAGCAGAGTCAAAGTAAAAGCAGATCAGGCACTGCCATTGCAGAACAGACTGGTGACTCAGAGATAGGAAGCCAGCTAAAGTTTCCTCAAGCCAAATATGCCCTAAGTAAGTTCCTAATAAAAATTTGGCACTGTACCTAAATGTGCAATACTACACCTATCACCAGAGAGGCAGAGCTACCCTCCTGACCTTAGAGAGGCATCAACACATGCGCTGCAGTTGAAGAGCAGCAGTTCTTCTGATTTTATTCTTTTTTTTATTGTTCATAAATGCGCTATAAAGGTTATTTCACATAAAGACACATTTTCTTTTTCAAATTAGATGCTTCAGCCTGTGGAGATAACAACCCACCCTTCTACCCAACTGCTTAAAAAAGAGCTAAGCTTCACAAGAAGGTGAAGGGGAATTGTGTTCATATTCAGCACCAGAAAAGTGGCTATAAATGTCCCATACAAAGTCGAGTTTCCTGAAGTTGGTTTCTTCGTCTGCATTCACCAAGTCCTCTTATTTCTCCCCATTCCAATACATTTTCTCAAACCAAAGTTCACCAGTCCTAAAGAAAGATTTTTTTCCCCCTCTTTTTTGGAAAGAGTTCAAGATAATGCTACCTTCTGCTGCTGGGCAGCTTCTAATTAAACTCTGTTCCCCAAACAGGTACCTCTTTGGAGCTACACCAGTGAGAAACTATCTCCTGCCCTTAGAAAAAAGAGACGAATAAAATAACAGTTCTCTCTTCGTAACACGCTTCATTCATATAATGCATCCACTTCCAGAATCCATTTAAGAGGAAGCCATCAATTATAATAAACTATAGAGTGCCCAAACTAGTCCAGGACTTTGAAGCTGTAGTAGCAGCTGTATACAGGCTCTTAGGTGTACTGTTTTCAACGTGCTTTCTAATGATAAACTAAAGCAAGTTTATAGTTTTGGCTTATCGTTGCCTCTTATAGTTTTGGCTTATCGTTGTTAAAAAAAAATGGTGACATTTACCTCCCCATTTTGTTTCCGAAAATTAGAAAGAAAACTTTACAATGTTAAAAGTTACAACAGTTCTTTAAGTTGGCTTCCCCAAACTTATCAGGGAAGTAAGACCACAGCTGTGCACAGACTATTAGCAATGAGGGTGAATGGTAGTACAGTCTTCAAAAAGAAAGGTAGCAATATCCTCCCTACCTGATCTGTACCCCAAACAGTTATTGAAATACTTGTACCTGGCCTGCTGCATCAACCCTAGGATCAGCAAGATTCAAGCCTCATGCACACTACTGAACGAAAATGCAATTTTGTGTTTCTAAATTAGGCAGATGAAGCATGGCTAAGCTTTCTGACAGCCACCCTAAAGTATCCACATTTATGCCACGGAACAATTCATATGTACCCTGCAACACTTAGAAATGTGGCATCTACTTTTTGTGTCAACCTATACTATACCACAGAAAAGACCTAGAGGAAGAAAACTGGGAAGCAGAGGCACACATATCTGAGCATATCTGTGTGATGAAAGCTTCCTAAATTGCTTGAACAAAGATGGGTACCATAAGCAAGAGTGTTCATTGAGACACTGGGTTGAAAGGATTACTGGACACATTACCTGAAATGAATAAACCACACAGAGAAGTTCAAATAAGGTTGCAAAACTCCGTTGTGAAGTTTTAAAAAGCATCAACTGTGTCCAGTTCATCTTACCATCCGTGGAATGTGCTGTGGATATGCAAGTACAGTATAACCTCATAAATCCAGGTATCAAAATCCAGAATTCTTGAAAATCCGGCACTTTAAAAAAATACAGTAAGAGCTCTGTTATCCGGCATCCCCCGGAAATAGGGGATGCCGGTTAATGGAATCAGCAGTGTGCTGGGGGACAGGGAGGGGGGCCCTCTGCAGGCTGCTTTGCCCTGGGCCGTGGGCCAAAGAAGTGGCAAAGAAAAACTCTGCTCGTGGTACTTCCAGTTTCGCTTTTGCCACATCCCTCGGATGCTGGTTAATAGAGTTTTCTGGCTAATAAAGTGCCGGTTAACACAGCTTGTGCTGTACCACTACATCCGGGAGTAGCAGCGGTCGGTCCCGGAGCAGCGGAGGGGGAAGCCTGCACATGGCAGCGGCTGCTGCTGCCATCCACCACCCCGCACTGCCGCTCCATGCATGGACACTGCTCCGGGACCAGCCACCACTACGTCCTCCCTGTGCCTGGCAGCCACTCAGGTTTAAAAAAATCCAGCATTTTCAATTTTCCGGCAGGTGCTCAGTCCCAAGCATGCCAGATTTATGAGGTTATATTGTAATACCAATATTAAATGCACTGAGGTTGGGCAGCCAGTGCTGTGAAGGCCTCAGAAATGCATCTTTATCCCAAGTCACATGAATAAAAAGAAAAAAAAAAAAAAATTACTTTCCTTTATAATGTCAAGTAGCTGCAGCGCAGAATGTTTGCCCTCCGAGTTTGTTCTACTGTGCATACAGAAGCACAAACATTTGACAGTATCATCTCATTTTAACTGTCTAAATAGTGCTAACAGTCAGTCAACACTCCAGAGATGCAGTTTTCTACTCAAAAGGAAATAAATATGGAGGGGAGGGGCTCCAGAGAGCCTGATGCTGATTTCTAAGCTTCCTTCAACAAAAATGTGTGTGTTTAACCACTTTCCCCAATAGACAGGATTTAGTATACTCTATTAAAGAGTGTTCTTCATTCTGAAGATATATTCCAGTCCCCTCATTTCCCCCTGTAGTTCCAACTGGAGATGGCTTCGCTCTGATAAACAGGATCTAGCCTGCAAAACTGGTTCGCTCTTCTACCCATCCCAAGACAAGCAAGCAAACAGACCTACCCAACGTCAAGAACAAAAAAACCTGATTTGCATTCTCTGCACATCCATGCTATTGAAGAGACGCGTCAGAAAGCCAAGAGGTTATTTTTCAAAAGCGCTCAGCACTGGCTTATCTCTGCTCAATTCATATTTCTCCTTCTTTTTGAAACTGGTGGTAATTCAGGCCACCAATATTTAGTGCATTTGAAAATCCAACCTCCAGTAAACAAAATCATATAGTTCATAAAGAACGAACAGCCTGTAAATAGTGCGCCTGTTTTGGTTAGATTAGTACTTTTAATGCAGACTTAACTTTCTTTGAGGAGGAAAAATAAGCCATGCTTAATTATCTAAAAATAGACCGAATGAATTACATAATGAGTCGTTTCTTTTTTTAAAAAAGGGACACCAGTAATGTCTGCAAGAAACAGGAATAGAAGGTCTTTTCTGCCAAATCCAACACTATACTTAAATGTAATGAACCACAGCACCCGTTTACTGGCCAAAGTGAAGATAAGCTTCTGATTATGAGAATAAGAAGTAGGCTTTTGCCTTTCTAAATATCCATGGCACTTCAGCAAAAGATCATTATCCATTTCTTTGATTGCCAGTTGGGAATTTTTCCCAGAAATTATAAACAGCCACACACCTAAAAAAGTGGCCAGAGGCAGGATCTGGCCCTTTGGGTCCATTTAACAAGTAACTCAAAAAGCATATGTATTACTTACTGCGTCGTACAGCGAGCCACTGATATCTGCCCCATAAATTGGTGAGACAAACGTTAGATTCTTCCAGTATTTGCGTTCCAGGTCTTCGAAATCTTGATGGCGAGGAGTACAATACCTGGTAAGCAAACAGGAAAAGAGTAAGAAGGTAGAAAGGCATAGACTGAAGAAGCACAGGTTCGGCAGAGACTAAAACAAAGCATAAACGGTTCACTTTTGTGAACGGTCTAGATAGACTGGGCAGTCCAAGAGGCAATCAAAAGAACACTTAAAGGTTATGGTTTGGGCAGTGGGTTCTGGATAGCAGCACACTGAAGGTGATTATGTAGCAGTGATGTGATTGATGCCTGAAGCACAGCGAACTACCATTTACCAGACAACCTGAACCAGATAGTCTCCTCTGGTTTCCCCTACAACCACTGCAGGGCCCAAGAGCCCACAAAAAGGAGGCATGGCTGCATCCCATACGCAGCAGACTCGAGATGTATACATCAATGGGCACTTACAGAACATCCCATTTAATCACTGTGCTCCACTTATAACTGACCACTACTGCTCAAAAGGTTTTAGAGTGTAAGTACACTGAGAGTTATTACCCCTCTGCTTTCTTTCAATATTATTTCATATCTTCCAGTTAAAAATCTCAAAATGAGCCCCGCAACCATGCAGAAAGACATACAAGTATCATCTCTGTGTCAGACTGGTGTAAGCTGAGGCAGAGAAGAGTGAACTGCAATGCCTAAAAAAAAAAAAAAAAATCACATAGCAAGTCCTGCAGAAGGCAGGGTAGAGATGTACCTTGTAGACTAACTGAATCAAAGATGCATAAGCTTTTATGAACAAGTGCTCACCCTCATTAGATGCCAAAGTGAGCTCTTGCTAATGAAAGCTTATGCATCTCTGCTTCAGTTGGTCTCTAACAGTGGTTCTCAACATTTTTACATGAGACAGTCTTCATTAGGCTTACAGCACCTCCCTATGACTTGTGAACTGAGCGGCAATCCATTTCAAAAACCTAATTTATATAGTGATTATCAACTTCGAGATGGGCCAGGGAATAAGGACAGAGAAGCGGCCAGGCAGGAACAAGCCTGAGCCTACACTTATCCCACACTTCATGGCATCCTTGTCGAGAATCACTGGTATAAAGGTGCATCTCTCCCCTGCCTTCTGCCTGACTTCAGACAAACATGGCTAATTACCACTCAGAGCAATTTAAGTTCCCTATTTTCCTTCTCTCTCACTCTTTTCCTGTTGCTGATGCTAGAAGTCTTAAAACAGGGTAACCTTCAAAATATGCATGCACAGAAGATTACACACTGCCTTTAAGTCTTTTTTACACATAAGCAGAAAGACTTCAAAAGACAGAAAATTGTATAAGCACTTCACATGTATTAGTGTGTGTGTATATATATATATTCAGAGAATCACAAAAAATGAGGGGTGGAAGGGACGTCAGGAGGTCACATCTAGTCCAACCCCCTACTCCAAGCAGGGCTAGCCCAGCCCCAACTACATCATCCCAGCCAAAGTTTTGTCTAGCCGGGTCTGAAAAACCTGCAAGGATGGAGATTCCCCCACCTCTTAGGGTAGCCTGTTCCAGTGCTTTACTACCCCCTCCTAGTGAGAAAGTTCTTCCTAATATCCAAGCTCAACTTCCCTGGCTGCAGCTTGAGACCATCCCTCAGCACTTAGGTGGAGCAGGGAAGTTAACAGAGTGCAAAGCGGTAGCATGGTCACACAGGGAATTTGTGGCAGTCAGAAATGGGATACAGAGTGAGGTGTCAGCTTTTATAGATACTGGGTATGGGGGGTTGTTTTAATGATCTCGCTCTACTAAGTTAAAAAACAAGCTCTGTTCATGTGAATCTGGAAAAAGGATTTCTGGTCTGTCAGCTTCAGCTAACTGATTTCTTTTGTGTTGTTGCGATGCTAACTAGCTATGAAGCATCCCGAGGTGTACCCATGCATGCAACGAACACAAGCTGAGCTACTTCCAGCCTGCTCATCTACATAATACTTAGGCACCAAAGCCCATCTCCAAGTGACTAGCTGTTTGGCAAGTCACAACGATAAAACAGCTGCTTCTAAGAACTATGGAACCAGAACCATTTCCTCCACGAGATGCATGGCTATGGAAGATTGTCATCAAATGCAGCCAGTCTGCATTGATTCAGTAGAACAGGAAAATGACAACCTAGCATAATCTCCTGCTATACTGCTAGGATTCTGAATTGAAAGTCTTACAAATAAAAATAATTGCTACTAGAATGCTTCCTATTTAACAAGCTGTTTTGCATTTTCTTCCCAGCTTGTCAAGAATAGCTTTCCATAAGCACCTCTTAGTGCACGATGCAGCAAACTGCCAGGCTCGTGAACAAGTACGTACTTCTCGCTGTTGGCTAGACGCCGGTATTCTCCTACAGTTGTGGGCTTCTTCTGTATGTTATACTGGGTGAATAGCCCTGACTGGCCAGTCACAACCTGCTGAATAGGTGCTGGGATAACCATGTCATCTATGTCATCATAGCTCCTTCGGGGTTTCCACTCCTTGGGAGGAATCACCTGGAAGAAGAAAAAAACCAACCAAGTAAGAATCTCTCAGTCACACCAGGCAAGCTAATCTCCATTAAGAAAAATGCTAACGTGGACATACTTTGTGCATCAATTCTAGCTAGCATAAACCAGTTGCATGCATTTTAATGACTCATTCTGAGCAGAACTAGATGAGTAGTTAAACGGCTGGCAGCTTGTCTACCAGCACTCATATCAATGCAGCTGCCCCAAATGAAAATCAAGCATTTTTTCTCAACAATTCTTACCACTGTTTAGACATTAGTCCATGACACATCAAAATAATGTATATGCTACTTTCCCAGCAGGCACCATAAAAAGTTGCCATTCCTGCCACCCCAAGAAGTTGAAATTAGATCCGCTAGCAATGCTACTGTCAGACTATCCACACGCCTCCCACTTTCACAGCCTTGTAGATGTCTAGTGATATTTCCTATGCCCCTCCCAAAAATTTAAAGGATTGGGCAGCTCACAACAAGACCGGCCCAGTCTACCTGCATTGTGGATGTAGCCTGCTTGTTCCAGGGTTAGATTTTTTAAGTTCTACATGAGGATTTTGACTTGTCCTCCCAAGTTACAAGTAACAGGAAAAATTAGAGAAGTTTGTGAAGTCTCTCGCACAAACCCCAATCTCAGTGACATAAGTAGGAACTGGAAGCATCCTATGCTATACACTTGCTTTTCTGCTTGATATGCAGCACACCTTTATTTGCTCCACAAACTACAAGACCGCAATGTAGAAAGCTTCTTCCTGCTTAGACTGTTGCACTAAAAATGCAGATGATTAAACATTTTTGAGCTTGAAAACCTATGCTGCAGTATTGACCGGCTTTAGGTATTGTTCTTGACCTTTCCTCAATATACCAGGACCAGGTTAGCAAAAGACATTGTTTTAGGACAGTTTTTAAGAGCGCTTTCCACATTATAAATACCTTGCATTCAGGGGGCCTGCTTAAAACCTATAGCAAGGAGAAGAACTATTTTGATCACTCTAAGCCTAGTTACACTATGATTGTTCCGAACATGGGTAGCAAATGATTCTGTCCAGTTTTTTTCCTCATCTCTCTGATCTATGCCAAAAGCCTTGGATAACCGTTGGAGGCACTGTGAAAGCACAGTGACAGCCTAGCGCCTGTTAAATAAAACTGCTTTAACCACATCTGGAGGACAGTTACACTACCAAACTTCTGTGAAGCAGGGCTTTAATAATTTGCTTGCCCCCCTGACCAAGAGGAGACACCATTACAGGAAGGAGCTGAGAGATCAGAACATAAAGGAAAAAGTAAAAGCCCAATCATCTTCAAAACCAGACAATGTGGCAAGAGTCTCCTGCTTTGCAAAACAGACGGACAAGAAGCCTATTGAGATGTTCACGGGGGGTGGGGGATAGAGAAAGGAAAGAATAAAGAGTGTTTTTAGCCTTTTTGTGCATCTGGAAGATGAAGATGGTATTCCACTTCTTCACAGGGGTGAAGAGAGGATTAACTAGGAAAATAATGTCTACAAAGCGCCTTGAAAAATGAAAAGTTGCATTTAAGTATTAAACATGGTAACTGCAAACCAAGTGTCTTTCCTTCAGTGCAGCATTTCAAAGGCTTGGTGTCTTTAATGAACGGTCACAAACACATTCTGCTACCAGCTCGTATTTGAAGTGAATAAAGGGGAACAGATTCAGCTTTCACAAGCAGTTTTCTGTTGAGGTGCTAAAAGTATTACTTTTATTTTAAGCAACGAACAAATCTAGGGGAGATTTAAATTGTGAACTCAAACAGTTTGATAAAAAGACAGAGGTCCTGCCCATAATAAAGCTGAAGCCCTGCTAGCAACAGTGTGTAAGTAAGTATATTGCCAGCAGCAGCTTTATCCAATTCCCTGGCTCGTGTATGTAGGAGATTTCTCTCCGATCTCTCCAGAGGGGCGTACACTGGTGTTGACAGAGAAGTCTTGTGGGTGGAGGGGGACAAAATGGTCTGTCCATACTAATTACGAAAATCCTGATAGTTAAATTCTTAGGTAGGGAAAATAGTCAATATAACACCACAAGAAAGAGCCAGGAAGGGAAAGAGACAAAAAGTAATGCACAGTTCCTGATAAAATATATGAACACCTAAGGATCAATGAAGAGCAAAACACTTAAGGATAGCTGTTCAGCACTCTTCCTGTGCTCTTCTAGGCATAAGTTGGTGGTGTGCAGAGCCGCTACAAAGCAGGGAGTTTGGAAGGTAAAACTTCCCATTTAAAGAAAAGGACTGAAAATAAATCTAGGTTCAAGCTCAGAGGAGAAATCCAAGTACAGGCATAAGGCTTGCAGAATGGCAACCTCATAAGCTGAAAAGTAAAATATATGGATTTATAAGAAACCAGCTAGTTATGAGAGAGAGGAATGGCAAATTATTTGAACTTCATGGGAATCACGGAAAACGTGGTCTGGAAGGGACCGCAAGAGGTCATCCAGTCTAACCCCTTACAAAAGGCAGGGTCGTCCCGGTTTAAACCACACTAGTCAAATGTTCATTTAACCTGCTCTGAAAACTTCTTTAAGTTGTGGAATAAGTCCCTCGAATACAGTGAGTACCTATTAGAAAGCCCTGTTTGGATAACAGGATTAATGTTCAGAGCTATAAGATGCTGCAACGCAGAGGTATAGTACAGTAGGAAAAAAAAGGCTATTTTCCAAGATCGAGAATTCACTGACAGCTTTCAGCTTTGTTAAGAACCTGCCCTAGAGAACTCAAGAGAATGAAATCATTAGTACACTCAAGCAGACACGGAAAGTCTTCGTGAAGAGCTTTTTATCAATACCAAGCTCCACTTTACACCTGTAATAAAAGCAGCGATTGACCTGTGTCTTAACAAGATGCTATTCTCTCACGCCGAACAGTTTTATGTTTCTCTTCTGTGTTGTGCGCTATTACTTGCAGCTAAGTGACACATGTATATCTGCCTCGTTAGAACAAACGGATCCCCATCTGGGATGCAACAAGAAAGAGACACAAGAGGATGCTTCCCACTTCATTTGCCCTCCTTTTACCAAAAGGTCCACGTTTAAGACATGTGGACTTCTCACAGTTTCAGCTCTTATTATGAAAGGCTTCGGACAAAAAACAGGAAGATTGAGACACAGCGATACCTTGCTTCTGTGGTCAGCTGAGCACGTTTCATAAATTGTTTATCCCTAGTTTTTTCCCCCCCCACCTCAAGCAGGACAAGCTGATGACATTTACTTCTGTATAATCACCAGCCATGTTTATTCAATAAATATATTTGCCAGGCTTAGCACTGAGGATTATTAAAAGTAAATTAAAAACACGCTGCAGAATCCATAAACCTTTTGTGCTTGCGAACTCCCAGTGTTTTAGCTCATACATACCCACTGGTTGACAAATACAGATATTTGGAAAGATAAGCAGAGCTCTCTCAGAACCACACTGAATAACCAGCATGTTTAAAAACGGCAGAGATGGTGATCGTGTAAGCTGTATAGGATATGCAGTAATAAACCCATGCACATAGGGCATGGAAAACAGACCCTCATTCACTGGAGGGCACCACCCCAGGAGCAAGAGCCCAGGGCCATTTTTACATTTGAATTAGTGAGCTGCACTAATTACAAGTGCCCGGTGCTGCATCAGGTGCAAGTGTGTAAGTGGTGCAGCGCACTTCAGTGCTGAGAAAACGGTGGCGGTGCGCTCTGAACAAAAGCACATCAAACGTGTTTTAGTTCAAAGCACACCGCCCACCATTTTCTCAGGGCTGATGTTCACGGCACCACTTATAAACCTGTGCCCGATGCAGCACAAGGCACTTTAATATATGTGCTCCACCACACTGGATTTCCAGTGTGTCAAAGCAGACTCGCTGCATGTGTGCAGGTGCCCCTAGATGCCGGCTGTTATGAACGTTGCATTAACTAGTCAAAAGATAAAAAAGCATAAGTAGCATTGGGAACAGGGCACCTTTCACAACCAGGGGAATGGGCACAGCATTAAATCACAGAGTCATACTCCTTGTGTGCTCTCCTCCTGGCCCTATTCATCTTGTACTCGCAACTGGCCTGCCCTATGCCTAGCTGAAGCAGGAAGAAGAAAGGACGTCCACAGCCCTGCCCAGTTCAAAGTCTGGTGGTTCAGGCACTACACGGGGAAGTAGGAGAGGCAGGTTTACTCTTCCCCAGAAATGAGCAGCCTAGAACCTAGGTTCTAACCACTAGGCTAGTGGGCAAAAGATGGGCATGTCACCCTCCTCCTCCAATGTACTATGCCATTCACAATGCTGTTACGAGTCTCCAAGGGAGCTGGGTGCTGTCATGATGGAAGGGTCTTCTCGCATCCAAGTCAATCCCAGGAGGTCAGGCCAAACCCTGGCCCAGCATTTTCTACCATCCGATCCCTGTTTTGTGCCTATATGGTCTGGAGGGACACGCAGCTGCCCCGAGAGCAGAACAGCTTTGCACCCCTTTTGGGTGCAACATCTTCATTTCCTTGAGGTGTCATGTATTTTTTGGTTGGGCAGCTACATAGGCTTAGACGTCCAGAACAACACTTGGGCTGCAGTCTGAAAAATGATATCTGGCCCACTGGGCTCTAGGTCTATGTGCAGAAGTTAAAGATCCCACTACATTTTTGAAGAACGCAGCATCACCCCAATGGCTTAGGCAAGGTGCCTTGTAAAATCGACAACATTTCTAGTTTTTAAGCACATTTTTTTTTGCCTGTAATACCTGTGCACTACAAGTATCTTGCACTTTATATACGGACCACCTGAAGACAGTCACAGTAAGAGCAACACCAAGTGAAAACTAATTATTTCTCATTGGCGCTATGTAATAAGCACCATTCCCAAGAAGTGACAGTCCAACATAACTGGCATCTTCCCATTTAGGCACCAGACCCAGTAGCACTGTTCAGGAGCCCAATACTGAGCTGGGCCCGTTTTCGACTTTTGTAAGTCAAGTCAACCGGTAAGTCGAGACTAAACTCACCTTGGCAAGTCCTGCCCTGTGAGCTCCTTGCGATTCAATATAGGCAACGTATTTCGCAAAGTCCCGAAATTGCTCTAGGGTGGGACGAAAAGTCATGATCTTACAGCCTGGGTTCTGTGGACTTGGGTTTTCAGACCCCATGTTTCCAGCAAGTTTTCAGCACCTGAACAAGAGAGGAGGGGAGGGTACAGGAGAGAGTAGAAAAAGGTTAAACAGAAATGCATTCCTTTCCTTACACACTCCTTTTACAATCTCACAAAAAACTTATCCAGGTTTCTGTTTCCCCCCACCAACGGAGAACCAGTTACACCACCACTGACCCCTACCCTCCATCTTGCAATTAATCACCCCAAAGTGTACTATTTTGCTCAAGAAACTGGACTTAAAATATTATTCTGTAGCCTAAAAGAAACATAGTTCTTTTATCAACTGTGAAGCAATGTTTCCCATCCATACTGCCATTCTGAACTGCGAACCTCACTGTATTTTCCTTATTCTCCCCACCAGTTTTCAGACAAGGGGCGCACGTTCTCAACAGAATCTATATATTCATTTCCCATCTATACAAACCATTCTAGACATTGTACAAAATCACAAGGTACTGCATATTGGTTTTATTTTTTTTACTATGAAGGGGAATCTGTGTGTTCATACACCAAGAAACATTATCATTTGTAGCTACTGATTGCAACAAAAAAAATGCAATCATGATATAAAGAGATATTTCAGTAAGAATGAGAGGTGGCAGGGGGTGGGGGGAGGGCAGAGTGACACGATATAGAGGTAAGGTCCCTACCCTCTACCTCTAAGATTCTAGTATCTTCTCTGGAAAATTAGTCTTAATTCATTTGTCTAATAAAGACTCTTGAGTTTTACTTTTCATTTGGTACCACAGTGTAAGGCCTGGCCTATACAGGTTTTGTATACCAGAATGACTATGCTGGCCGGGGTGCAGTTTTGTTTCCACTGTCTGCATATGTATCTTGGGACTCAGTGGGGTGGGAACAGTAACGCGACTATTAAAAAGGTGCCTTGCATGTAAAGCAACCGACTCAAGTAGAACTGGTGCAATCCTGAAGCATGCTAGGCAGATCTTTTGTAGAGGTGGCTAAGACACTGTCTCCACCTTCCCCCAAAAGCTCGTGACCCCATTTGTCGAAGTGGTAAAAACATGTTTGATGCCTCACTAATCTGGGATGACAAGTAGCATCAGTTTCCAAAAATGCCTTTTTTCATGACAGCTTGCTAGGAAACATCATCCATTTCTCTGTGACATGGAGCTGGACACTGTAATAACGCAATTTTCACCTCCAGGCTGTATTAGCATTAGCACCCTTGCATTGCCTGTGGAATGCAAAATGAACACAAGCTTTGGCTTCTCCATTGTTCAGCCCACTGCAAGCACATGTCTGCACCCAACTCCTTCCACCTCCAGCTTTTGATCCCATAAAGGGAAAAGCGCCAGAAACTCACTAAGTCCGCTACAAACTTTGCTACTGATTTTATATGGAAGGTGCTGAGATCCTATGGTGATGATCACATGAATAAACAAACCACAGAAGCCCTACCCATCTTAGGGTTTTCTTTCTTGTTCCCATCCGTGTACAAACTAAACTAGGATAACTGCTCCCCATCCATGTACAAACTAAACTAGGATAACTAGGATGAGAGCGGAGGAAGATTTGGGGGACTTGTACTAATAACTATAACAGAATACACATATCAGTTACGCTTAAATAAAGGCTGAGCAAAGCCGATGGTTTGCCCAAATACTTCAGCTCCATTCATTTACTCTGCATAAGTGGATGTCCTTCAACATTAAGCTAAGGGCATTCACTTCAGCCCTCTGTTTTTCAGCATGCATACTGAAGCAAATGGTTGTCATTCATAATTTTAGAGCAGCATGCTTCTTCCTCTTCCTCCATTACTTTCCCTGAAAGCAACTTGCACGTTAGGTTACAGATAATGTTAGTTACTTCCTCTTCTGCTCAAGTGCTAATCAGTTAAGACAGAAGCTATTTAATAGATGGACTCCTACATTGTAATTTAATGTCGCTTGCACTTTATAATGGGTCAGATTAGCGTTCTGCTCCCTAAAAATGTAGACTGCTCGTTTTAAAATCTTGATCGACTCAAAAAGCAACTGCTTGATTTCTTTCAAAATTTTCAGATTTTTTTTTTTTTTAACCCTGGGCTGTTTAAAATTTGGAAAAACTGATCTTTTCAAAAGGAAAGTTAAAAAAACTGTACTTCCAAAGAGTTGTGAACAGACTGTATGCCTTAAAGACACGCACGTGCCCCCCCCCCCCCCACACCCCACCAAATACCTAAAGGGCGAGA